AGGCCAGCCTGCAGCCTGACACCCCACAGCCTCCCTCACCCGCACTCCCTTACCCGCCCTGGCTTCAGGCCCGGAGGCCTCCCCAAGGGCCAGTCCCTGCCTTCTCCAGGCTGCTCTGTTACCAGCTGGGCCCGCCTGGGCAGCCCTGTGGCTAGGCGTTCTCCAGCTGGGCTGGCGGGGTGTGGCAGGACAGAGGTTCAGGGGCTGGGGCTGGGCGTGTCGGGGGCCCGGGACACACAGGATGGACCTGCCGAAGACCTGGTTTGGATGGACACAGCCCTGGCGTCGCCCACAGGAGGGGGCGTGGAGAACGAGGGGCCCTGCCCCGAGCGGGATGTAGACTGGGGCAGCCGATCCCGAACCAGCCTGGCCCGTCCCCAGGGAACAGAAATGCTGTCCGCCCAGCGCCCTGCTGTGGGTGCCGGCTGACGCCATGAAATCACGACGGCGAAGCATTAAGGCCGCGCCGTGTCCAGGGGCCACCGGCACAGTGGGACGGGGACGCGTGGGATGGGGCTCGGGCGAGCCTCCCAGGTCGGCCCCACCCCTCGGGAGGCCACGTCCAGGCCAAGTCCACTCAGGTGCGCCTCCAGGGTCAGCGCTCTCCGGCCCTCACAGCCACCTCTGCCGCCCGAGTGCCCCCTGCAGGAGCCTTCGGCCCCTCTCTGGGCTCCAGGCTTCCTGATGGGCGGCTCAAAGTGAAGGGGTGACCAGCCTGGCTGCCACTCAGAAACCTTGCAGGCAGAAACTTCCAGAAGGCTAGGGAGTCTGTCAGCGCCTCTTGGGGGCAGGACAGAAGCTGGGCAGGGGCAGGGTGGGGGCCTCACAAGGGAGGGACTCGGCCAGCAAGTCCCTGGCCCAGCCCCCGCAGGCCCGTCCCTGTGCAGGGTTGTCTGGTCCTGGTGGGAGGGCAGGGGCCTCGGGGCTGCTGGCGCCCACGTCCTGCCAGTGGGCCAGCCTCTCGGTGACCTGTCCAGGTTAAACCTTTGGAACAAAGGGGCCAGGAGGGGACCCAGCTCAGCCACCGGCTCCGCCAACACTGATGTGCTGGAATGTTCTCCGGGGAGATGCTCGACCCCCTCTGGTGTCTCCCTGAGAGCAGGAATAACAAGCTCACAGCGGTCACAGCTGCTCTCCCTTCACACAAGCTGCTGTGCCTCAAGCTGCACCGCACAGGGCGGCAGGATGGGCCTTCTCAGCTCCTAGTGTCGTCTGAACCGTGAGTGACAGGAGACCCTGACCTCTCTGCTGTGACCCCAGCAGCCTGCAGCTCTGCCTTTGGCCCCTGTGGCAGAGGAGCACGTGGGCTGGGGGCTGCATCCTCCAAGGGCACCGGGCGGGCAGGGCCCTGGCCTGGCTGCGCCTCTTGACTCAGTTTCCTTGGTCTTTGCAGAAGGCCCTGCCTGCCCCGGGAACGGGCGCCCCTGGCCGCTGCCTCGGTTCCAGCTGCCTGAGCCAGACACCAAGGCCTGCAGACTCCATCATTAATGAGGCAAGATAAGATCACACCACAGGCAGGCATGGGAGAGGCTCCTACTAAAATGGCCCCGGGGGGCCGACTCCCTGAGTGTCTGCTCCCCACCCCACCCCACTGCGATATTCACTGGAGAGAGCACTGGTGCTGGAAGGCTGCAGGAGACATAAATAACACGCCCGATAGAGCCGTATTCGGAAATAAATGGCCTCATTCTAAATACAGAAAATCTTATTTATTCCCACTTGCATCTGCTGCCTTTTCCCTGCCACTAAATATTTTATCTGAGGTGCTGGGAGCAGAATTAAATGGGGGTTAAAAAAGAATCAGGAACATCAAGCCAGGGGGCAGATGGTGCTTTCACCCTGCAGGCGGCAGCTCCCCGCTAATCACAGCTGCACATCACACCCGGGAGCCTCATTATCATCACGATCGCCAGCGCCCACAAATCAGCCCTCCGGGGCGGGCCCGTGACGTGCCTGGGCTGGCCGCCAGAGGGCAGCTGGCTCCCGCTCCCGCCTGGCTCCATGTGGGGGGGTCCTGCTCCCCTGGCCCAGCGCGGGGGTCTGCTCTCCCCCGGCCCAGGGCCCCTGAGGTCACCCCTGCCTCTGTTATCTTTGGGGAGAAGGTGACACATCTTTACTGCGTCGTCAACAACCACCATGCGATAACGGGAAGGAGCGTGTGTGTCTTTCTGAGGGGAGTTTGTGGGAGGCCGGGCCGGTACTTGGGGGGGCCATGCTATTGTTACAACTGGAGGGGGGATTCGTCTGCAATCCCAGTGATCACTGGTGGGGCAGGTGGGACATGCAGGTGGGGCCGCCCTGCAGGGGAGGGCTCCTGGGATGTGAGGCCTACGATGAAGCAGCAGGCACTGAGTGCCAAGAGTGGGCACCGGCAAGGGTGCTGAGTGGGCAGCTGAGCTGGCGGGCAGGCTGAACTGGCGTCTCGCCCTCTCCCTCCCCTTAGACCCCGCCCTCAAGCAACACCACCTGAGGCCCTCTCCCGAGGGGGACGGGGCAGGAGCCCGGGGCCTCCTGCTGGGTGAGGGACTGGCCGGGACCCCACGGGGGCGGCTGCTGCGTTCTCTCTGCGTCTCTCTCCAAGGTGAGATTGCGCGCAGGCCAGACCCGGTCATTCGTGCCGCTGGAGCTGGGAGCGGCTGGGCAGGAAGACCCATTCCAGCTGGACTAAACACCGAGCATTAAGCTAACTGCTCCGGACGGCTGCTGCTGGGCTGTGCTGTGGCCACAGAGCGTGGGCAGCCACGCTTCCGAGATCCTGCTGCTCCCTGCCCCAGGCCAGAGGTGCAAAAACCGGTGTGGTTGTGACCCCCGAATCCAAGGGCAGAGAGCAGCGCCCTAGGGTGGGGCACATCTGTATAGAGAGAAGCCCCCAGGGGTTTCACAAAAGGCAACACAAATGTCCACTGAATGGATGATTCCCCTTGGTCCCCAGGGAGGCCCCGTGCTCATTGTTTTGGCCTTTAAGAAGCACAGGAGGTGAAAGAGTGGAGGCGGGATTAGAAGAGGGCAAGCTCCAGGGTTTCCCTTCCCAGATTACACCAGGGGGCAGCCCCCGGGCTCCCAGCTCGAAGGCTGAGACCCACGTCTGAAGGGCTCTGGCCGCCCAGGTAGTGCACTCTGTAGAAGGAGCCGCCTCTGTAGAAGGAGCCGCCTCTGCAGAAGGAGCCGCCTCATCGGAGGCTGAGCGGCAAGCCTTGGGGATCCGCTACCTGCACCCACACAACTCCCTGAAAACGCCTTCAAGAAAAAGTCCCTTTCAATGGATTTGCCAAAGCAAATGTTTAACTTGACTTGCAAAGCGAGGTGCTTTTAATTCTATGGGGAAGATACTGAAGAAGATGTTTCCAGTCTCCCCAGGTGGGTTTTGAGGGCCGCGAGCCCTGGAGAGCCCTGGGGCGTGTTGAGGTGGCCACCGCAGGGGCTCGGCCCTTGCCTGGGATGCTGGGATGGGGGCTGCTGCCCAGGGCACGTCGTGGGTGGACAACCAGCCGGGGTCCTTCCAGTCCACTGCACCGGGCCAAGGACAGGTGACAACAGGGCCTCAGAGCCAATTCTCCCGGGGCCCGGACGGCAGCCGGAAAACCGGGGCCTGGAGCCCTGAGCAGGCAGGCAGCGGGTGTGAACGGGCTCCTGGGGACCCGGTGGGGAGAGGGGGCCCTGTCTGTCAGAGACATGCACAAAAACCAGGATGCTGGGGGCTGGGAGGGAGCCTTGGGCCGGGACAGTGGGCTGGAAAGGGCTCTGGAACTTTCTTGAATGAGGGTATCATCTGCATCTTGGGCCACACGACAGACATTCACTGAAGTCACCAACTGCGTCCCCACGACTGGGTGTCCGTGAGCACGACTCACCTCTCAGCTGACAGTCTCAGCCACAGGGGCCTGACCCGGCGCCCAGGGCCAGGCCGCACGGGTGTGCTTAGGGTGGTAAACGCGGCGCAGGGGCAGAGCGGGGGGCGCAGTCCGCTCTGGGCTGGTCCCCAGGCCCGGCCTGGCACTTGGGGTCTGGACCTGGGGCCACACCAAGAAAACACAGCTACTCATCACCACGTTGGGGTTACGGACCATCCTCACATGGGCTTTTCAGTGGACCCGGCCCTGGATGCTGCCCGGTCCAGGGCGTCTGGGAGAGTTAGCGCCAGCCCTCAGCTCGGTCGTCCTGACCGGGGAGCCGGGCCGAGCACTTGTGTCCACCAGGGTGATGGTGTTTAGGGGCGCAGGGGTGACTAGGCCACGTGGTGCCACCCCCACGATGGGCCTGGCCCCCCACAAGGGGGTGGAGGCCAAAGGGCTTCTCTGCCACCAGGACACAGGAGACCCCGGGGTCTGCACACTTGACCTCGGACCCCCAGCCTCTGCAGGTGAGAAACGACTGCGTGTGGGCTCAGCCTGAGCTGCTGCCCGGGCAGCCACTGGCGTGGGCAGAGGGCCAGCACGGTGACGTGATTGTGCTCAGACAGGACCCGCGTCTGGTGGCATCTGGCAGCGACGGTTGCTGTCACCGCCAGGCCTCCGGCACAGGGACTAAGAACATGCACAGAGGGAGTCCCGGGCCTAGGAAGCCAGGGTGGGATGACCGCAGCCAGCCCCGCCCGCAGCAGGAAGGCCATGGTGCCCTTGAGAGCTGCAGCTGCTAACCCCCAGGCAAAGCAAGGCAGGCTGTGGGGTGGGAGGGGACGGACCTCACATCGGACACCCCCGGGGGCTTGGAAGTCCCTCCGCTCTTGACAGCCCAAGCCTTGGCTGACCATGCGTTAGGCCTGCACACCTGGCCACCAGGTGATCGCTGCATACTGCAGGCTCCTGCTGATGGCCTGGTGCTCCCGGAGGCTCCTTTCACTTAGCAGAACCTCAGGAGACTGGAGTCTGGCTTGTGGTGGATGTCAAAGGGCACAAGCAGCCCATCAGCTGCGGCGGCTGTGACCCCGGCCCCTCTGGCAGCAGCCCCGGCCCCTCCCGCGGCGGCCCCGGCCCCTGCCCCCGCCTGTGTGCGCGTCTCACCTTCGTACAGCCAGTCGCTGAGGCCGTTGTAGATGGAGCCCTCCTTGCCGGTGGAGACCACGCGGATGGCCTGCTTCCCGACGTGCGCGCAGTAGTAGATGTTGTTTTCAAAGATGAATATCTAAGGAGGGGAGAGGACAGACCTGCAGTTACGGGCGGCCACAGCGAAGGTGCCCTGGGACCCTGGGGGCGCCCACCCCGGGAAACCACGTGTCAGGCTGACTGGACACCGGCCTCTGGAGCCCGCCCAGCGCCGCCATCCCCACGACCGGATACTTTGTGATCTGATTCTTCTGCGTAATTAACATCAGGCCGAGTTGACTCTTCTAGCTATGGGCAGTGTCCTCGCAAGTCAGGCTGATGGGCGGGACCTGCACGCCTGCGACTCTGCCGCTCACGTTCTTTGAACGTTGTCGAGTGGCCCTGCCCGGTGCCCACCGGGGGCTCAGCGGAGGCGAGGCGGGCAGAGGACACGCTCTCACCCTCCTGGCAGGGGGAGGGGGCGGCCCCTCTGCGGGGGAGGTGCTCTGACGGACCTGAGGGCTCCCCAAGGTGAGCTGAGGGGTCAGCACCAGCCCCCCCCCCCCACCGAATGTCAGAGAGAGGCAGAAAACCCGCCAGTTCACCAGAACACACGGCGGCATTCTTCATGGGAAACAATGCGGGGAATACATGCGACCGGGCAGCGGCCAGACACAGCGCTCGGCTGACTGGGGCGGCTCTGCAGCCGAGCGGCAACAGCAGCAACCTTATTTTAATACAGGATTAGCAGTGATTTTTTTAAAATGGTAGAGCCTGGAGCCGCTGAGGACGCGATAAAAATCAACACAGAAACCGTTTGTAAATACCTAGCCGGGGTTTTTAAGAAGCTTTGGTCGTTTTCGACGCGGCAATTTCAAGTCAGGAACCCCCTGGCCCAGAGGGGCGTGCCGGGTGTGAGCAGGGAGCAGCGCGAACAGGCGTCCGAGTGGGGCCGACGGTCGGCAGGTCCATTCAAAGACTTGATGTAACCATTAAAAATCATGTTTGCCACTTGCAAGAGTTTAGTTGTATCAAATGCCGATTGTGTCATTGTGGGCCAAGAGGCTGGGCAGAGAGAAGCCGCCGTCTCTGCCACAAAGGCGCCGCTCGGCAGCAAGACTAAGGCGCTGAGGGACTCTTGACCGGAAGTGGATCCCGGGACAGGGAGTACAGTCGTAAGCAGCTTTTTTCTATTTTCTTTCTGTGTTCTGCATTGCTTGTACAATGGGAAAAATAAAGAATAAAACCCCACTACCTAGAGGAGCCTGGCACAGGACTGGGAAGGACGAACCCCCCCACCATCCCGGGATCACACATGGGCCCCCCTCCGGGAAAGGAGATGGGCGGCATCTCCACCCCGGATGGGGCCGTCGCAGGTGCTCCCCTCCAGGGAGAGCAGGTGCATTTCAGCTCCTTCCACCCAGCATTTGCTGCTCCGTCCACCGTGCCTCTGTCTGAAACAAGCCCTGAACAGCACAGAGGACACCGGGACACCATGAGCCCAGGGGCCTGGAATGTCACCTGCCCTGGGACGGACCCCTGGCACCCATGTCCTCTCTGCCAAGTGCCCTCAGCCCCTTCCCACGACCTAGCGTGCAGGAGGAAGTCCGGGGCCAGCAGTCACTCCTGGGCCAGCCAGGGCTGGGGCAGAGGGGCCAGGGGAGCCACCCCAGCCTGGATCCCAGCCCCGCTCGTCCTCCTGTGCAGGGCACCTGGGGCACCCTGCCAGGTGCTGGGCAAACTCTGCTCTGGCCATGGACACAGATCAGCCATGAGGCACCTGTCCAGGGCAGGGCAGGGCAGGGCCAGCAGCTTCCGGAGGGATGACGCCGGTGGACAGACCTCCCATCAAGACAGCTGCTGGAACAAGTGCAGGTGCTCCACCTGCTGGCATCTAGGACCTGCCTGGCTCGAAGGGACCCCCTAGTCTGAGTGGCACCGGCCAGGGCCTCCCCTCCCTGGCTGGGCTGCGGGAGGACGTCCCAGCTCAGCGGGCGTGTGTGACATAACACCCTTCCGTGCCACCAGCCTTCTGGAGCCTGGTGATCAGCATCTCTGGAAAATCAGTGTGTTCCAAAATCGTAGCAAAACGAAGATGCTGATTAATAAAGCCACGTTTCACGTCTTGCGATACCAGGATGACACAGTCAAGCAGCATAACGTTGCCCGGTGCCATGAAGATGTGGGGTGGGGAAGAGGCGCTGGCGCCCCTACGGGACGGCTTCCTTCCAGCCCTGCCAGCGCTGGCTGCGCCCTCAGCCACACCCAGGGCACTGTGGCTGCTGGCACGGCGGGCACTGGCGCCTCACCACCGCCCACGTTACGCTGGGGCTGCTGCCGAGAGGAATTCCTTGTAAAGGAGCCAAGTTACCCGCCTCCCCCCCATTTTATCCTTAAAAAAGACCTCGTGAAAGGGGCAGAACGGAACTGCGGGAGGAGAGGGGACAGTTCTCCCGTTTCACGTGCTGGGAAGGTGGCGACCAGGCAGCCTCGCACGCCCCGGGCCCCTGAGGGAGGCAGAGCGGCCTCTCCGGTGAGTCTGCAGCAGCACCTGAGCCTCCTGCCTGCCTGGCGATAGCCCCCGCGTCTCAAGGGCCAGGGGCGCCCTGTACCCTGAGCTTCTTGCCTCCGGCGTGTATTAACTGATTTCCCCACAAGACGCTGGGATCCTTTGTGCACCTGGGGCCCGGGGCACTGCTCAGGGAAGAGGGGCTCCCCAGCGAGAAAGGGTCTCCCCATCCCAGTCTGGACGACGAGGCACCACGGCGCACGGAGCGGCTGGATGTCCATGGTGCGGCCACTGCACAGAGACTCGGGTTCGCATTACCTGGGCTTTCCCAGGAATCACCCCGGACGGCCACCTTAGTCTGCCTCACGTTATGGCTGAGGAAACTGACGAGGAGGCTCAAGGCCGAGGAAGCTCCTAGGGTTGTCTGATGCCAAAGCCCACGGGTGTCCCTTCTCTAGTTTCCTCACCACTTGAGCAGGTCTGTGGCCCGGATCCAAGACACGTAGAGTTTGCCTCTCACTCTGACGGTCAAGGAAGGGACTAACATTCACTGCCTTGAGCTGTCTCGCCACCCTGCGGCACGCTGGGGGTCTTTCTACCCTATTTAGAGATGAGGAGACCGAGGCTGAGCAGGATCAAAGAGATGGCTCCGTCCCGGGAGCGGCAGACGCTGAGGTCTGAGACCCTGGCTCCCCCGGCGCGGGGCTCCCCAGCAGGCCGGCACCCACACCGTCATGGTCAGCGATGATTTTTCAATGCCACTGGCATGGCTTCCTACCCGAGAAATAAAACCAATTCCCTTTCCACGCAAACAAGCTTCATTTGCACGGGAAATTTTGTATCACTAAGTGAATGGGCCGCCGGCGGGGACGCTTAGGTGCACACCCAACACCCGGCACCGGCGTTCCTAATGCCACCCAGGACAACACGAATCAGGTTCTGGGCATGAGGTTTGCCCTTTCTTTGTTAATGGGAGATCAGTAGGTTTTGGGGGCTGTGAGATACCTTCTCCTGGTCGGTGAGCCCAAGTCTGAAGACCTGAAATTGGGCCGGGAAGCAGGGCTGGCACAGTGGGTCCCGAGTCACGCTCCAGCCGCGCCGCGTCAGCGCAGCCTCCCGGGACTGATACTGCTGCTTGAAATTCGTTGCAGCTAAGTGGCAGAGTCTATTTGTAAGCACCACACTCATAAGACTGACGGTGTGGACGCAGTTCCGTGCGTGCCCCGTTTAAGTGCCATTCCAGTGAAGTGATTTAAGACAAAGTCAATAATGTGATGCTCCACATTCGTAGGTCAATTTCATTCATGAACAGACAAAAACTGTAAAGAAAATATTCATTTAAAACATCCAGCAGCCGCGCATGCATAGAAGAAGGTGCCGCCCAGCCACGGGCCGTGGGCCTCGCCTGCAGCTGGCTCCACCGTCAACGCAGTCGGCCTCCTGACAGCTTTCAGGAGAAACCCACAGGTCAGCTCACTAGATGCAGGAAACATCTTAAAATGCAAAATTCATTCAAGATTTTGCACAAACCAAAACAGCAAGACAAGGACAGGAAACCCAGCGCCAGCGAGGACGAGAAACGACCTCCTCAGAGGTGGGCGGCCTCTACCCAGCGTGCACGGCCTAACGCCACAGCGTTCTCCCGCGATCAGGAACAGAACAAGGGCCTGGGCCCGGGACCACCCCTGGTCTCAGCTGCCACCAGTTCCCAGCACGGGGAGGGGGAGAAGCAAGGTGTAGGGTGAAAGGAAGAGAGGAATCTGTGGTCTTAGGGGATACTGTCTACACACTCATTCCAAAGAAACCGGAGATAAACTGGAGAATTAAATGAGTTTCGCAAGGGTGCTGGCTACAAAATCAACACAGGAAGTCAATTTAAATTCTAGTCACTAGTGAATATAAATTAAAAAGATTATGTCAGAAAAAAAATGAACGGCATATAATAGTTCCAAACGCGCCATACCTGGGATTAAATTTAAACCAAATATTTGCAAGCAATTTATGAAGAAAATTGTGAAACAGCAGTGAAAGACTTTCTTTGGGGAATAAACTGCTCGGCTCTGCTCATGTGCTGAAGACTCAACGGCCAACGGCTATAGTTCTCCCTCCACTGGCTTATAGATTTAATGCAATTCCAACTAGCTTTCCAAAAGCGTTTTTAAGAGGACCGAACAAACTAATCTCAAGCTCCGTGTGTGTGTGTGTGTGTGTGTGTGTGCGCGCACGCGCCAAGGGTACACAGTGCTGATACGGCCACGCACCCCCAGATCAACAGGGCTGGAGACAGGGCAGACCAGAGAACCTGGTAGAAAAGGTGTAATAATTACCTGGAGGGACAATGTCGCACACATCACCAAGCTATAGAACTAAGAAAGTCCATTCCACTGACAAAGGCCAGTGTCACGCAGGAGACTCTGACGCCAAACCCACGTGTGTCTGAGCCGCTGAGAACGGGCAGAGGCGGCCTTGCAGGTCGGGGGAAGCAGACCTTCTCAGCACACGGTCCTGGGACAGCCGGTTATTCCGATGGAAAAGCCGTTCCAGGTTTGCTTTCCACCCCGCCCCCAGCCCAGCGGGCTCGGGGACGGGAA